CTTAAACAAACGCTATAATTCACGACGAACGATTCACGCGCTTGACTCAATTGTCCGTCTCTATCTCTGTCTGCAATTCAATTCCATTCAAGAACCTTCGAGAATATCATGACGTGTTACTAGCGTCACGTGACTTCCGCTGTCGTAACAATACGACATGACATTTTACTTCCTGTGTGTATATATCATAATATATATATATATATATACGTTTTTCTTTCAAGAATATTAAACCGTCTAGTCTTCATGCTGTGTTACTTAAATTATTCAAAATGTAACAACACGTACCACTTAACTAAATGCCTCCACCCCACCCCATAGACAAGTTATACTGTGAATTCATGCCTTTGACATGATACTACATGAACATAATAATCTAGCTATTGGTAATTCATTAATCTTGACATAACTGGACAGATTTCATCTCAAATGACTATTTTGAAGCTTGAAGTTTCGTCTTTTATGGCTGTTGTGGCTATTTTTTATGTCATACCATAATTGAAGTAAAACTTTAAATTACCTGTCTGAAGTTGATTTGTCTGCAACCGGTCGTCGATTGTAGAAAAGTTGATACTTTAGACTTGGTTCGAGTCTTACGTTTATTAACTCCTTTAGTTGAATCACCATTCTTACTCGTTACGACCTTCTCCATTGAACTATATGTTTCAATGTTCTGGGTGTCCTTCGTTTCCGATTCTTTTAATTTGTCTTCGGCATACTTCTTAAAAATCTGACCTTTGTGGAACTTATTCTACTGTGGCTATATTTCGTCTCGTATCAAACTAAGCTAGGTGGGTCACGTACTATTTCGTCTCCTACAACCAGACACCATTTTTCGTCTCAAACCATAACTGCGATAAGTGTAAGTATATTTTCCGTCTTATATACAGTTACTGAAACCATATTACCATCTCGTACGATTACTGAGGTTATCTTTTAGCTTATACCACCAATGAAATCCTGCTTGTTCTCAAGGAGCTAATGAGGCCTTTTGTTTTTTTCGTCTAAAACATAACTACGGTCTCGTTTCTGGTCTTACGACTTCGAACACAAAGTATATATATTTACCAGAAAACTAAAACGGATGATAGCAGTCAACAGAAGTTTTACCCAGGGTCAGCCCTTAGGAGGGTACAGTGGGTGCGAGGCCCCCAAAATCCTAATCAAATGAGGCCCTGAAATGAATAAAACCATTTTTGCGATCAGTAATGAGTCAAGACCGTCTCAATTCCTTGGCTGTCTTGTCTACTGAGGAAGAAGAAGCAACTGGAATTTCGAAAACTTCATAGAAGAGTGGGCCAGTGATAGTGGATGAAAACTTAATTCCATAGAAGAGTGGGCCAGTGATAGTGGAAGACAACTTAATTCCATAGATGAGTGGGCCAGTGATAGTGGATGAAAACTTAATTCCTATAGAAGAGTGGGCCAGTGATAGTGGATGAAACTTAATTCCATAGAAGAGTGGGCCAGTGATAGTGGATGAAAACTTAATTCCATAGAAGAGTGGGCCAGTGATAGTGGAAGACAACTTAATTCCATAGATGAGTGGGCCAGTGATAGTGGATGAAAGCTTAATTCCATAGAAAGTGGGCCAGTGATAGTGGAAGACAACTTAATTCCATAGAAGAGTGGGCCAGTGACAGTGGAAGACAACTTAATTCCATAGATGAGTGGGCCAGTGATAGTGGATGAAAACTTAATTCCATAGAAGAGTGGGCCAGTGATAGTGGATGAAAACTTAATTCCATAGAAGAGTGGGCCAGTGATAGTGGATGAAAACTTAATTCCATAGAAGAGTGGGCCAGTGATAGTGGAAGACAACTTAATTCCATAGATGAGTGGGCCAGTGACAGTGGAAGAAAACTTAATTCCATTTGAACTAGAATTTTGTAAGTACATTTTCTTTTTCATTGTTATTATTGCATCTGCTTCCTTTTTCTTTCTTTTCAATGTTCGAAAACTAGATAGATCATTACTAAAATTGAATTTCAGATGCATCATGCATGGTTATATTTTTGTCTCTAATCCCCTTCTCCCTCATGCATATATATATACATATAATTTCATGTACATTATAGCAGGGGGACCCACCATTAATTCTTGCATCCGGGCCACCTGTACTTTAGGACCGGCCCTGATTTTACCATTATGGTGATACTTTGAACACGTACAAATTTCGGAAACTCAAGGATATCAATAGTATTCTGTCTGTATAACAGAAATTTGTCGGTAAAACATTTAAACACTTACGACCAAAGCCCTCTGTCGCGATTTTCAGGACCCACGTCCGTGCGTGATGTGATTGACGCAACCCTTCGAATCAGATACAGCGTATATTATAGTGGCATGAACATTTTACAAAACGTTTAATTAACATAAGCGCCCAAAAAAAAAACCTTTTCCACGTTATGTGTGTAAAAATAGTTCTAAACGACAGTACTATTTTTATAACAGAGAATACTGTTAGTGGAGGGAAAATCTGAAGTAATCTTCAGAGCTTTAACAAAAGTCGCTATAATGTTTACAACTCGCACTTTTTAATACGAGTAAAGGGTCATATTAATGTGTTGGTATATTCAAGACACTTCTTAGGTTTAATAAGGTATTAATTATGATATATGAAACATCTGGAACCACAAACACGCATGAATTAACTCTAGTGGCCTACGGGTCGAACATGGCCACAGTGGTTAGCGTACTGGGCTATGGATCTGCGGATCTAATGTTCGCGTCCCTTTACCGCCTGGAAATAAAAATGGCGCTCCGCACTTTGGGTAGGTGGCTGCGTTATAAGGATAATGACCAAACACTACTATTCGGGCAAATAAAAGTAGCCTAAGAATTAGCAGTGAATGCTGTTGTCCAGCTACTTTCCTTCTTCCCTGTCAGTTAAAAATTAAGGACGGCTAGCCTAGATAGCCTGGATTAACTTCGCAGAGCCCCCCAGTGGCACAGCGGAATGTCTGCGGACTTACAATGCTAGAAACCGGGATTCGATACCCATGGTGGGCAGTGCACAGATAGCCCTTTGTGTAGCTTTGTGCTTAACTACAAACAAACAAACTTCGCGCGAGTATTCGATAATATAATAAATACATGTGGAACTGTAAAGAGAAAATCTATTTATCTTAGAATATCAATGTAAGTACCTACATGGACATTGCCCTGAAAGGGGTCAGAGTAAGTGCGCGGAATACTCTGACCCTTATGTGCTATTTAGATTTATATTCACCCGAAACAGCAACCATCTACCAGGAAGGAGGGAAGAGGTCAAATGGAACCTGACCCTCCCAAGTCTATAAGACCTAAATACCGATTATTATAATAAGACGAGTGAAAGTGGTAGTCAGATTTCACTGTCAGCCAAGCAAGAGAAGTCTTTGAGTTCACTAATTGCCTTCCTTCTAGTCTTGAGGATAAAAAATATTGACGGCTATTTGCAAATAACTGTTTTTGTAGCTTTGCGCGAAAATTCTAAAACAACCCAAGGCTGCACAAGGGCTATTTATACTATACGTCCCCTGTTTGTAACTGATAAACTAGAAGGAATGCAGCTAGTCAACAGCACCAACCGCCAGCTCTTGGGCTATTCTAATCGAATATTGGGATCTGTCCATCACTTTTATAACGCATCCACAGTCCCAAAGTGCGAAGCGCAATTTGTTGTTTGGCCGGAACGAGACGCGAACTTGAATCCGCAGATTCATCATCTTTAACGCTAATGACTTAGCCAATTCCAGCCAAATCAAAGCACCCCAGTGGCTGTCAACCACAAAGAGACGAAGTACGTACTAACATGAGAAAATAATATATATATATCAGCACTGACCATGTCCTCCGGTGTCAGCGGTGGGTACAGCGCAGATAACCTTTTGTGTAACTTTGCGTTAAAAAAACAAAAAACACAGACTGCCTATTGATTAGAAACGAAACCATAAGTTACTACAACCCTGTAATTCACTTTGAAAGCTATATAATAGGCTTTTTGAAGTGACATTTCTGGAAGAGGCAAGACGCGGAAACTTTAAGAGTTAAGGCATAATATCACTTAGGTATATATCTATTCTCGAACGTGATTTGGCAATAAGACCTACATTAATAACATCCACTAAACTTATGAACTAAAGTTCTAAATTCTGTCGTTTCAATTTCACTCTATATAACAACAATTCTCATTAACAAATCTTAAGAAAACTTAAAAAGTTCTTTCGCCTAGTTGCCTAATATTAAATCTTCTTAAACGTTATAAATATGGAATCGTTATTTTTCCCCCCCTTAGTAATATTTAAAACTAACCAACCTGCAAACACTGGGGTTCATGATTGGAAATCAAATGGCTATCAAACTCTTGTCCACAGACGTAACAAGCTGTTGTTAAAGGTCCTGATGAAACTTTTGAGTTGGTGGATTCGGCATAGCTGTCTGAAGTTGATTCGTCCGCCTGTGATTCTGCAACCGGTCGTCGAGATTGTTGAAAAGTGGACACTTTAGATTTGGTTCGAGTCTTACGTTTATTGACTCGTTTAGTTGAATCGTCATTCTTACTCGTCTCGACCTTCTCTTCCACTGAACTATCTGTTTCAATATTCTGGTTGTGCTTCGTGTCCGATTCTTTTAATTTGTCCTCGGCGTGCTTCTTAGAGATCTGACCTTTGTGGAATTTATTCCAACCATTTGTACTGTGGCTGTGCAGACGCTCTGGGGCGACGCTTCGGGTACACGTCTTACAAGGAAGTGGCAAACGACGGTTATAAAAATAATTTTTTGAATTATGGCCAGGTTGTGTTAATGGGATTCTGCTACCGTTATGACCAGCCTGGATGGAATCATAAGACCTGTCGGTACTTGATCCTGGACTATGTTTAGTATTTTTACTGTGAACCTGTTTAGGTTTTTTGTTCACAGCTCTATGAAAATCATTCTGTGGTGGCATACTATACCTAGAAAACCTATGAACAGCCACTGTCTTGTGTGCATTCTTCGATTTGCATGTCTCAGGATCGCTGTCAACCACAGGTAGATCAAAGTTGTGGGTAGGCCTGTCCAACGTTTTTGTCTGAGGTCGGATAAGTCTCTCTGATAATACCTCTCCATCTTTTCTACTGTCTTCCATTTTGATGTGTATTCTGAGCGTTGTGGTTTAGAATGTGAATAATGTGATTAGTTCATATACATGTAATTTCACAAAAACAATTTATTTTTCTTTTGTTTTTTTCCCCATTTTTATTCATCATTTTACGTACACAGATATGGGCATGTATACAGGATATGGGTTTACGGTTTGTTCCGCGTAATTACAAAGTCTCATCTGCTTACTCATAACGCCTTTGTTTTTTAATGTTCAACCATCGTCGTTCCATAGTTCGTAGTTCTATCGAAAAGAATGCGTTTCTGTTCCTAAACGTTCTGTGAGAAGACAACACATACTTTACGAAAAATTATCTGGAATATCGTCCACCTGGTGGTTGTACTAAAATACTCCTTAAAGTGTTACAAAATATAAAAAAAAACACCATTTGATTTATACGCAACTTAATTTATCGCGTATTTAAACGGCTGCGGTAACTTTGTAAAACGCAATCGTTCCATATTTCAATGAGTCTTCAAAGCTTATTGATATTCTTAATCGCCCTAAAGAAATTCAGTACTATGTTTACATAACAGGTGTATAAATACAAAATAAGCTTGGAAAAGTGTCGTGCGAGTTGAAGACAGATAGAATACGTTTCCTTCACGGACTTCTTTTATCGTTGGTAGGTAGTTTAAGTATCAAAGCTTCCTCCGAGAACGAGAAAATGTTGAAAAGACAGACGAAATACGCTGCTTTTACGGACTTCTTTTATCGTTGGTAGGTAGTTTAAGTATCAAAGCTTCCTCCGAGAACGAGAAAATGTTGAAAAGACAGACGAAATACGCTGCCTTTACGGACTTCTTTTATGATCCTACTTTGGTATATATAGTCCAGAAAACAGTACTTCTGAGAATCGGAAAAAAAGACGCAAAGATCCACATCGGAGGTCAACTTGTCAAAAGGTCACTGAGTAATTGCTAGAATAAGTTTTATTTGTGAGACAACTTCTGACCGTGGAACAGTATCCTGAACTGACTGCGTCGGTTACCTGTAAAAAATATTACCATTTAAAAGTCGTTATTTAAGCCTTTTTTTAAAAATATAGAACGAAACAGATAGCTTTAAATAATTTAGATCTTCACATAGTGTACGTTATTTGCTTCAAGTGTTGATTAAAGTTTATACCAAGAAACAATACAATTAGATTTTTCATTTACATCAAATATTACTAAGTAATTCATTAGGTCGTTGATTTGAATTCAATCAACATTTGTATCAGTCCGAATCTTTATATTTTATTAGAATTACAGGTGACCGCCCCGGCATGGCCAGATGGTTAGGGCACTCGACTCGCAATCTGCGGGTCGCGGGTTCGAATCCCCGTCACACCAAACATGCTCGCCCTTTCAGCTGTGGGGACGTTATAATGTGACGGTCAATCCCACTATTCCTTGGTAAAAAGAGTAGCCCAAGAGTTGGCGGTGGGTGGTGATGACTAGCTGCCTTCCCTCTAGTCTTACACTGCTAAATTAGGGACGGCTAGCGCAGATAGCCCTCGTGTAGCTTTGCGTGAAATTCCAAAACAAACAAACAAACCAAAGACAGGTGACTACAGATTCAATATCGTGTCGTCATTGAACGCTTCATAACTGACGCATAAAAGAAACTACAGTTACTTTCTTCCCTTCTT